GTCGTATATAAAGGTTATCAGTCTGTCACTGGGAGCCCCCCACAGAAGTTCTGGTCATGTGGGCAGCATTGATCATGTGATCACACCGAACGCTGCCATCCCTGTTCCGGCCTCCTGCCGACGGGACAGGCAAGCAAAATGGGAAAAACATAGCATGTGGCATCGTCAGGAGTCCCACAAGGTCACCGGAGGGGTGTGACAGCGTCACCGGGGCTACAGATTCACCTCTGCCGCCACGGATGATGGCGGATCTTTCTTTTTTTTTTAAAAAGGAAGGATCATTATTACCATACAAATAGACAGATCTATTTAACAAGCGCTCCTTTATCGCGGGGCCGTGGATTCTTTAGACGCGGCTCCTCCTCTGGCGAGGGGGTGCGTCTGCGGCTTGATAAAAACCGAGGGCGATAGACGGAGCAAGGCTGACATCTTCTTAAGAGATGATAGGACGGCGGGGCCGAATGGGATGGAGAAGTCACTCCGCGCTGATAGGTAGTTCATTTGCGGAACCAGTGCATCCGCATCCCCTGTGACTCCCTGCCTGGCAAAGATAGCTCACCCGGACTCCATCCATTATTGCTTTCCGCTTCTCCCTTAATGTTTTAACGGCTCCCCTTTTGTTTTAACGGCGCCGGCTGCCCCCCCCCCCCCCCCCCCCCCGCCCCCTTTCTGGGCTTTCGATGAGAATCTCCGAGTTTGAGTTCGGCGTCGGCTAATGACATCGCCTTTTCATTAGAGCACGGGAAGGGGAAAAATCAATTATTTTCTTTGTGAGACGTGTCGAAAAAAAAAGGGAGTAGATTGTGAATGAAAGGAAGGTGTGCGTTTTCAAACAGGGACGCCTCTCGCTGTTGATAAGCACCCCCCACCCCCCACACCCACCTTCCAGATAAGACTTTTTTTGTGGGTCAAGTGACAATGTACTTCTGAACTAAAAACTGAAAACATGGATCTTTCTAACTTTACATATCATTGCTGCGCAGGGACGCAAGCTTGTTGTGTGGAGTTTGGAATGGCACGGCTGTACATAGAGCAAATGTAAGCAGACCCTAACCCTAACCCTAACCCTAACCCTAACCCTAACCCAAACCCGAACTGTACCTTTTCAGGTGCTCAAAGCACAGCTTTACTTAAGTTGGCCCTCCTACTGAGAAAACTGCTGATCATTTCACTTCCTCCGCAACACAGGTCATTCGGGGGCCCTAAGCAACTGCCTGTTCTGTCTATAACTAGACACTAAGTGTAACTACCAAAAACACACTACAAGCCATCTGTAGTGTACAGGAACCCAGGTGCACGTGGGCTGAAACTGTCATGGCCGACCCGCTTTACCGCATGTATTGGACGTCTGGACTGGAAATTGCTTTGTGGTCAGTCTTTAAGCCCATCCCAGCAAAATCTAGATCCAGTTCTAACCTTGCATGATTGGTATTTAAACAGTATACTAACTGTATTATAAAATGAACTAAAATAATCTTGACATGGTACACCACTGTGAATTTGCAGTTTGGGACTAGATTTTAGAAAATTAGATACACATATATTACAATATATACATCTGTGTTAATGTATTAATCCGCAAGTAAACATGCCTCGTGAAGGACACGCCAGGGCCCAGAAGCATGGCTACCTGTTGATGCATTAAGTCCCTGTTCCTTTTCAGGCTGATGCCCCTGGTTTGAGCAGTCGTAAGGGGCTTGTAATTGTCGTGAGGAACAGCATTGTTCTCTTAAGTGCAAGTTATTCTTTTATTGTGACCATTAACATTCAAACAAAGCAGTCAATTAGCTAATTGGCTTCCATCTTTAATGTCAGACAGACGTGACACCCATGACCAGAGTGCAGCCATGTTTTCAGACTATTGTGAAAAAAGCGCAAGACTCAGTGACCAGGGAATTAGAATGTGACGCTCTTAAAACGATGAGTGCGTCATTGTGCTATTAAAATTGTTTGTGTTAAATGAGAAACAGCCCCAATAACGACAATGACGACTCATTCCCAATAAAGCCTGTTATTATATGTTATAATCAGATTGATCTGAAGCATGCAGGAAATATTATGGGCAGCCTTTGCTTGGCACTGTTCTCTGACCGGAGTCCAGAAGACTAAAGAAAAAAAGAAAAGAAACAGGAAACCATCTTCTTCTGTGTGAGTGTCTCCTGCGTTTAGGCGCTTTTGCATGAATGGACTATCCCTAAGCAACTGACAAGCAGACCTACGTTTAAGAGTTTAGCTGCAATTGTTGATAATTGCGAAAGTGATTACGGCTCTCGCCAAAACGCTAGGCGATTATCCCTGGATTACCCATAAGCCCATTACAGCAGGACGCGCCGTCCGTCAGGCTGGGCCTTTATATAATTTGATCAATTACAGAGGCCTGCTTCTATTCAGTACTTAGTTCACCACAAGCTAAACGACTTACCTAGCATGGGATTGCAACACCACTCGGGGCGGACTCTGACTGAGTCCCACTGGCTCCACCTTGGCTCGTTTAGAATATCAGTGTTCTGTTTCACCTGTTCTGGATTCCCAGAACATCCTTCAGCCCCCCCCCCCCAAAACAAAAAAACACCAACTCTTTTACCAAAGCATTGCAGAACTTCCTAAAGAGAGATAGATTTAGCCTTCAAGGAGAACTGGTTGACTCGGCTGATCGTTTGGGTGGGTAGGCGAGGGGAGCTGTACAGTACTGTACAGTACTATCCCAGATTAGTAAGACACTCTGACTTTAAAAAGTCTGAGGCTGCTTGTGTTTATATGAAGGCCCGGTGCCCAGTGATGTGGGAGGGTTTATCCAGTGTTCATGCCGATGATTTTTGATGAGATTGTTTACAGTTCTTAATTAAAAGGCCCACACATTGCTGGTGGGCGGGAGG